AGTTCCCCATCTGGAAGATGACTGGAAACAAAAGGGAAGGTAGGTCTCTCATTTGACGCCCACGGTGTTCGTTCCCTATCTGGCATATAACTAGAGACACAAAAGGTTGAGTTTCTCCTCCGACTCCCTGCAATGTTAGATCCCCATCTTAGAGATAACTGGAGCCACAGTAGGGCTGTAGGTCTCTCCCATAATCCTCTGCAGTGTTACCCTCCATCTGAGAGATAACGGGAAACATGAGAGGAGATGGCTCTTTCCTCTGATCTTCACAGTGTTACTCAATTCCCTATTTGGGCGAAAACTGGAGACACAAGGTGGGGGGGTCTGTCCTCTGACCCTCTGTAGCGTTAGTGCTCTATCTGGGTGATAACTGGAGACACAAGGGGAGGTGGGTCTTTCTTTTGACCTTCACCGTGTTAGTTCCAGGAAGGCAGTGAATGGACGAAGTTGGGGCAGATCTGCTGGTCAAACATATTACAATCTGATTGTACAACTTACAAAGCAGAGATAGATTGGTCTGGGGCATGGCCTAATCATCACTATTAGTTGGGTCTGGACAGGAAGTCAGGGTGGCAATCTCCCACTTCAGACTTCTGCTTCAGTACCAACTTTCAATGGAGGGGGTCCCCCGCACTGAATTTCCTTACTGCCTGTTGTGTTCTGGACAGGAAGTCAGGAGGGAATCTCCCACTTAAGACTTCTGCTCCAGTGATAATGGTCAGTGGTGGGGTTCCACTCACTTCCTGCTGTGTCTTCTAAACAGGAAGTGAGGGGAAACCTCCCACTGGGGACCATTGCTCTGGTGGCAAATCTCAGTTCTAAGATTTCCTCACTCTGTGGAAATTTTTGTTCACTTCCTGTTTGTTATGGACAGGAACTGAGAGGAAATCACCCAACGTGGGTCACATACAATGGTTTTTAGCTCTTCCCCACACCACCTAAAATAGATTTGTCTTAAATTGCAGTTTAAATGCAGGCTACACATCAGATTCAGACATAGATTCTGCCAATCAGGTGGCACTGGCTTTCTATATGGAGGTGTAGAGACATGCTATTTGTTCTCCCATGGCCACCAATTCAATTTATTGGCATTTATACTTTTGTGAGTCAGAAAGAGGTGAACTTTCCATCTCCACCCTAGCGAGCATTTCCTAGCACTGGAGGGGATGGCTGCTCAACTATTGACCAGGATGCTGGAAAATCTTTTCACATCGACCAAGCCCTAGCAGGTGAGGCCACCTTATAAAGACTGGGTGAAAGATCTGAACATCTATGGACTCTGGGAACAGACAAAATCTATTCCCCATCACATCAATCTGCAATCTGTCCCAGTCTGTGTATGGCAAGAAAAGGAGGGCTATGGGTGCCAGGCAGGAAGCCAACTTACTCAGGACCCAAATCCATCATAAATTATCCTTTAGGTGTAGAAGAGTCTCAGGTTACACTGCTGTGTCCCCATTTCAGGCATTACTGCTCACTTCCTGTCTCTTTGATGGGTGTCAGACACAACAGGTACCCAGGAAAATGACACTACTTACTTCTTATCCAGGAATCAAGATAGGAAATAAGTAAAAATCCCCCCCCCCTTTCTTGTCCAGGTGTCAAACAGGAAATGAGTAAAATCCCATAGGCTCCTGTCCAACAGTCAGAATCATAAATAAGTAAAATGCCACCCCATTCCTTTCCAGGTGTTAAACAGAACAGGAAATGAGAATATTCCCACTTCCTCCTCTCTAGGTGTCAGAACAGGAAACAAGGAAAATCCCAATATGCTTCCCGTCCGGGAGTCTGACAGAGCAGGAAATGAGGAAAATCCCAATATGCTTCCCGTCCAGGAGTCTGACAGAGCAGGAAATGAGGAAAATCCCAATATGCTTCCCGTCCAGGAGTCTGACAGAGCAGGAAATGAGGAAAATCCCAATATGCTTCCCGTCCAGGAGTCTGACAGAGCAGGAAATGAGGAAAATCCCAATGTGCTTCCCGTCCAGGAGTTTGACAGAGCAGGATATGAGGAACATCCCAATGTGCTTCCCGTCCAGGAGTCTGACAAAGCAGGATATGAGGAACATCCCAATATGCTTCCTGTCCAGGAGTCAAACAAGGTTGCAAACTCAGTAAAAGCTTATGCTTCCTGTCTAGGTGTCACACCAGGAAATTCCTGCAGCTTCCTGTCTAGGTTTCACACCAGGTAATCAAGAAAATCCCACGACTTTCTCTCCAGTTATCAGAACAGGAAATGAGGAAAATCCCACGCTCTCTGTCCAGCTGTCAGAACAGGAAATGAGGAAATTCCCACAGCTTCCCGTCTAGGTTTCAGACCAGGTAATGAAGAAAATCCCACTGGTTTCTACCCAGGTGTCAACAGGACAGGAAATTCCTACCTCTTGTTGTCCAGGTAACAGAAAGAACAGGAAATTCGAAAAATCCCACCACTTCCCTGTCAAGGTGTTAGACCAAGAAACTAGGAAAATTCCAACGTTTCCATCCAGGTGTCAGAATTCCCACCGCTTCCTATCCAGGCTTCAGACCAAGAAATTATTAAAAAAAAAAACCCTACTACATCCTGTCCAGGAGTCAAACAAGATTGTAAATAAGTCAATTTCCACCCCTTCCTGCCCATGTTTTAGACAGCACAGGAAATAAAGCTCCCACCTCTTCCTGTCTAGATGTCCGACAGAACAGGAAATGAGGAAAATTCCACCGCTTCCTGTCCAGGTACCAGACGGGACAAGAAATGAGGAAATTCCTACCTCTCCCAGGCTAGATGTCAGACAGAGCAAGAAATGAAAATCCCATTGCTTCCTGTCCAGGTGTCAGAACAGGAAATGAGTAAAATCCTACAGCTTCATGGCCAGAGGTCAAATAAAGGCGATAAGTAAAATCCCACCTATTCCTATGCAGGTGTCAGTGAGGACAGGAAATGAGTCAATTCCCACTGCTTAATGTCCAGTTGTCATACCAGGAAATTATGAAAATCCCACCAATTCTTGTCCAGAAGTCAAACAAGATCGTAAATAAGTACATTTCCACTTTCCTGTCCATGTATCAGACAGAACAGCCAATGAGGAAGTTCCACCTCTTCCTGTCCAGGTGTTAGAACGGAAATTGAGTAAAATCCCACCCCTTCCTAACCACAGATGTCAGAACAGGAAATAAGGGAACATACCCCACTTCCTGTCCAGATGTTGGAACAGGAAATTAGGAAAATCCCACCGCTTCCTATCCAGATGTCGGAACAGGAAATGAGGAAAATCCCACCGCTTCCTGTCCAGATGTCAGAACAGGAAATTAGGAAAATCCCACCGCTTCCTGTCCAGATGTCAGAACAGGAAATTAGGAAAATCCCACCCCTTTCTGTCCAGATGGCAGAACAGGAAATTAGGAAAATCCCACCGCTTCCTGTCCAGATGGCAGAACAGGAAATGAGGAAAATCCCACCGCTTCCTATCCAAATGTCAGAACAGGAAATGAGGAAAATCCCACCGCTTCCTAACCAGATGTCAGAACAGGAAGTGAAGAAAATCCCACCGCTTCCTAACCCCAGATGTCAGAACAGGAAATAAGGGAACATTCCCCCCTCTTCCTGTCCAGATGTCAGAACAGGAAATGAGGAAAACCCCACCGCTTCCTAACCAGATGTCAGAACAGGAAATGAGGAAAATCCCAGCGCTTCCTGTCCAGATGTCAGAACAGGAAATGAGGAAAATCCCACTGCTTCCTAACCAGATGTCAGAACAGGAAATGAGGAAAACCCCAGCGCTTCCTGTCCAGATGTTGGAACAGGAAATGAGGAAAATCCCACTGCTTCCTAACCAGATGTCAGAACAGAAAATGAGGAAAATCTCACTGCTTCCTGTCCAGGAATCCAAATAGATCGTAAATAAGCAAACTCCCACCCCTTCCTGTCCTTGTACCAGACAAAACAAGAAATAATTGCATTCCCACTGTCGATTTGTAAGACACACCTTGGAAAATCCCACCCCTTCCTGTCCAGCTATCACAACAGGAAGTGAAGGGAAATCCCCTAATGGAGACACAGGAAGCCCTACAATAAACCTTCTAATAGAAGGAGGAAGAATCCGATTTACTGGCAAAATGAATGGAGATTTCCCCTCACTTCCTATTCAGGTGATGAGTGTCAGAAAAACAGGAGGAAGTCATAAACATTTTACAATCCTCGCCCTGGTACATACAGAATAAAAAGAAAAGTTTTGGCTAGAGTCTAGGTGTGTAAGGTGGGTGAAGTCTCCTTGAAACGTCAAACTGGGTTCCAAGAAACACCTCTGGCATATGATTGGACATGTAAAAGAAAATTTCACTTTAAGTACCTCCCCCATGTGTATGATCATTGGTTTCTGTTCATTGGAAAGGGGCTTGGCGAATCCAGCGGGAGCTCCGTGTCACCTTACATCACCCGGTACAAGTGGTCCCACACTGCTACATTGTCTAGATATCTGTCCTCATAAGACCAATCCCTTCCCACCAATCGTACGAGGTCTGTTGATGCTTCTTGCGGTGTTCTGGAGCTCCTAAACTTCTCACACTCGATGGAGGAAACCAGAGCTGTCCTTTCCCAGGGGGCCCTGCTGTGCATACATAGAATGGGTTCATTTGGTCCTTGGAGCGGCCCCGGAAAGTGCTGAGCGAAGGAGGACAAGGGACACGAGAAACCCCTTGAGAGCCTTCAAAACAGAACATTACAATCCACCAATCATTGATGAGCAGCAGATGCTCAGGGGCGGGATGGGGGGGTGTGAGGTGGGGCAGGATACCTGGCAGTCCCCCAATCTGTGCAAATCTTGGAATTATAAGTGCAAGCAGAGCGCTGTATGAGTAATAGTGTTGGCGGTGGGAGCCGGGCACGGGGAAAAGCTATCTTCCCTTCTGCTGGTGCTGAGCACAATGCCATCTACATGGCTCCCGAGCAAGGCATTGGCTGGAGATTGGGATGAAGATGATACAAATCCCAAGTGAGGACACAGGAAGGGGTCCCGGGCACCTCACAAGTCGTCATCCCCGATACCCTCGAAGGCGTAGTTCCCGTGAAAGTCTTCGGCACTCATGTCGTTGGTGGAGCTGGAATTACTGATTCCTCGGAGACTGACCGAGCTGAGCTTACTCTGTGGAGAGAAGGCACACATTACAGACAGATCTGCAGGGGAGGGGCTAAAGAGAGTGAAGAACTCCTGTCATATCTCTAGTAACAGAGCTCAGCTTACTCTGGGGAGGGAATAAAAACATAACAGACAGATCTGAAGGGGAGGGGCTAAGAGAGTAAAGTGGCCCTGTAATACCTTTACTGACACAACTGAGCCTGTTTTGGGGAGGGAAGGCAAACGTTACAGCTCAGATGGGGATTCGCAATGGAGGCTAGAGCTCAGGGAGACCATAGACAGGTCGCCATGAAAACCTGGAGTTCATCAGGACTACAAAGGAATCTGCTTTGGAAACCTGGAGTTCAGAAACCCCATAGATTGGTTCACCATGAAAACCTAGATGGACCATAGAAAGGTCCTCCATGAAGACCTGGAGTTCAGAGGGACCTCAAAGTCCTCTATACAGATCTGGATACAATGGGCCCACAGAGGAATCTGCCATGAAAACCTGGAGTTCAGATACACCGTGGACTGGTTCACAATGGAAACCTAAAGCTCAGAGGGATCACAGAAAGGTCTTCCATGAAAAACTAGAGTTCACAGGGACCCCAGATGGGTCCTCTATAAGGACCTAGATTCAATGAGACCACAAAGAAATCTGCTGTGGAAACTTGCAGTTCAAGGAGACCATAGACTGGTTTACCATAGAAAGCTAAAGCTCAAGAGAGACCATGGATAGGTTCTCCATGAAGACCTGGAGTTCAAAGGGACCCCAGATGGGTCCTCTATACAGATCTGGAGTTCAGTGGGACCCTATATGGGTCCACTATGGAGACCTGGAGCTCAAAAGGGACCTTGAGGTTAGAGGGTCCATAGACAGATTCAGCACTGGGGACCTGGAACTCAGATGGACCATCGAGGGGACCATCATGGAGATATAAAGGTCAGCAGACTATGACCTTGGTTGGGTTACTATACTGAATACTGCCACACAGGGAGAAAGGGGTTTTGCTTTATGGGAAAAAGAGTTGAGTTGAGCAGAGGCTGGGACTCATTTCTGAAAATTAATGATGTTGCCGTTCTGCTTCTTGCCAAATCAAAGATGTCGAATTGTTGCATTACAGAATCTCAGTAATCATTCCTATGGCCTGTTATTACACAGCTGAAAAATGATAAAAAGGCAGCTAAACTACAACATGGGCAACCACCAGGATGGAGAATAGTGCTGCCAAAGGGGACACTTATTGCCCTCTGTTATCAAATGCTGAGGTGGAGGTTCTCCAATACGAGAGTTCTGCAGCAATGAACACAAACTCACCGATAACTTGGCGATGGGCTCCCGGGTTGAATCCGGAGAGTCCTGGGGATGAAAAGAGACATTCATCAGAGGGATGGAGGAGAGGACAGCAGACGGATATACAGGCAGATGAAATATATATTTACCAGGAGAGGGGGAGACTTCACTGCCTGCTGACTGTCTACCCGCCGCACCAAACACGACTGCCTCTTCCGAGACATCTACCGATGGTGAGAACAAGTCCAATGTAATACACAGTGCAGAGCACATCAACACAGTAAAGTCTGTATATCCACAGCCACCCTCCTATGTACACATATTAGCCCTCCACCCTGTATACGCTGTACACTCCTCACTGTCCTCTGTACACACAGTACAGCCCTCCCTCCATTAACAGAGAACACCCCAATCCCAACACCCTCTACAATGCCTTCCATCCCATCCTCTCGTTCCATCACTTTACCTTTTTAATGGTGCCTCCAGACTTCTTCACCATCAGTTCATCCACCATTGACTGTAAGCAGATACTCATCATTATAGCCTGGAAGGAAAGAAAAATTATCATATACGTGTATTCCCCTATACAGGGCGACACCGTCGCGTACGTGTATTCCCCTATACAGGGCGACACCGTCGCGTACGTGTATTCCCCTATACAGGGCGCCACCGTCGCGTACGTGTATTCCCCTATACAGGGCGACATCGTCGCGTACGTGTATTCCCCTATACAGGGCGACATCGTCACGTACGTGTATTCCCCTATACAGGGCGACATCGTCACGTACCTGTATTCCCCTATACAGGGCGACATCGTCACGTACCTGTATTCCCCTATACAGGGCGACATCGTCACGTACCTGTATTCCCCTATACAGGGCGACTCCGTCACCTACCTGTATTCCCCTATACAGGGCGACTCCGTCACGTACCTGTATTCCCCTATACAGGGCGACTCCGTCACGTACCTGTATTCCCCTATACAGGGCGACTCCGTCACGTACCTGTATTCCCCTATACAGGGCGACTCCGTCACGTACCTGTATTCCCCTATACAGGGCGACTCCGTCACGTACCTGTATTCCCCTATACAGGGCGACTCCGTCACGTACCTGTATTCCCCTATACAGGGCGACTCCGTCACGTACCTGTATTCCCCTATACAGGGCGACTCCGTCACGTACCTGTATTCCCCTATACAGGGAGACTCCGTCACGTACCTGTATTCCCCTATACAGGGAGACTCCGTCACGTACCTGTATTCCCCTATACAGGGAGACTCCGTCACGTACCTGTATTCCCCTATACAGGATATCGTCATGCACCTGTATTCCCCTATACAGGGCGACTCCGTCACGTACCTGTATTCCCCTATACAGGGCGACTCCGTCACATACCTGTATTCCCCTATACAGGGCGACTCCGTCACGTACCTGTATTCCCCTATACAGGGCGACTCCGTCACGTACCTGTATTCCCCTATACAGGGCGACTCCGTCACGTACCTGTATTCCCCTATACAGGGCGACTCAGTCACGTACCTGTATTCCCCTATACAGGGCGACTCAGTCACGTACCTGTATTCCCCTATACAGGATATCGTCATGTACCTGTATTCCCCTATACAGGGCGACTCCGTCACGTACCTGTATTCCCCTATACAGGATATCGTCATGTACCTGTATTCCCCTATACAGGGTGACACCATCATATATGTGTATTCCCCTGTACAGGGTGAAACCACCCTATACATGCATTCCCCTATTCAGGGTGACACCATCATATACGTGTATTCCCCTATACAGGGTGACACCATCATATACGTGTATTCCCCTATACAGGATAATACCATCATCGGCCCATAGCAACGCTTCCCATTACACAGGGTGGGATCTCACCTGCGGGCTGGAGATAGTGATCCACTGTAGCCGGTCTTTGCTCATCAAGTACTCGAAGGCCAGTTCCAGACGGGCCTCTGTCTTGTTGGGGCTGCCGGCACCATTGCTAAAGGGGACCTTGATACCAATGGAACATTATGTTACTGGAAAAGATCTCCTGCTAAAGTCAGATAAAAGGTCACACGCCCTGAGCTGTTCATTATTTCCACATTGTAAGGATGTTTTGTTATACCCAGACATGCTCATCCTCGAACGGTATGTCTTGTCATTACCATATATGGTCATCATGGAACAGGAAGTCCCGTTATTACACCACTTGGTCGTCGTAGAACAGAAAGTCCCATTATTACCCTACTTGGTCATCGTAGAACTGGAAGTCCCGTTATTACCATACTTGGTCGCCGTAGAACCGAAAGTCCCGTTATTACCATACTTGGTCGTCGTAGAACAGAAAGTCCCGTTATTACCATACTTGGTCGTCGTAGAACCGAAAGTCCCATTATTACCATACTTGGTCGTCGTAGAACCGAAAGTCCCGTTATTACCATACTTGGTCGTCGTAGAACCGAAAGTCCCGTTATTACCATACTTGGTCATCGTAGAACCGAAAGTCCCGTTATTACCATACTTGGTCATCGTAGAACCGAAAGTCCCATTATTACCATACTTGGTCGTCGTAGAACCGAAAGTCCCGTTATTACCATACTTGGTCGTCGTAGAACCGAAAGTCCCGTTATTACCATACTTGGTCGTCGTAGAACCGAAAGTCCCGTTATTACCATACTTGGTCGTCGTAGAACCGAAAGTCCCGTTATTACCATACTTGGTCATTGTAGAACTGGAAGTCCCGTTATTACTCTACTTGGTCGTCGTAGAACTGGAAGTCCCGTTATTACCCTACTTGGTCGTCGTAGAACTGGAAGTCCTGTTATTACCCTACTTGGGCGTCGTAGAACTGGAAGTCCCGTTATTACCCTACTTGGTCATCATAGAACTGGAAGTCCCGTTATTACCCTACTTGGCCGTCATAGAACTGGAAGTCCCGTTATTACCCTACTTGGTCATTGTAGAACTGGAAGTCCCGTTATTACCCTACTTGGTCATTGTAGAACTGGAAGTCCCGTTATTACCCTACTTGGTCATTGTAGAACTGGAAGTCCCGTTATTACTCTACTTGGTCGTCGTAGAACTGGAAGTCCCGTTATTACCTTACTTGGTCATTGTAGAACTGGAAGTCCCGTTATTACCCTACTTGGTCGTCGTAGAACAGGAAGTCCCTTTATCACCCTACTTGGTTGTTGTAGAACAGAAAGTTCTGTTGTTACTCTAGTTGGTTGTCCTAAAACAGGAAGTCCCCTTATTACCCTACTTGGTAGTCCTACAACAGGAAGTTCCTTTATTGCCCTTCTTGGCTGTCCTAAAACAGGAAGTCCCGTTATTACCCTACTTGGTCGTTGTAGAACAGGAAGTCCCGTTATTACTCTAGATATTTGTCCTAAAACAGGAAGTTTCTTTATGGGGGAGATCTCTGATGGGGGGCACAGTCTCTGATGGGGGTGCTGCTTCAGATTGAGTGCGGCTTAGAACGAGTGCATAGAAGAAGCAGTTGAACGCAGCAATCTAATTATGCCTTCTCTACTTTCACAGGTAAATGCACCTTTCTCCTACCTCCACTCTTAACTCCAAAAACGCATTGACTCCTGCTGCCTTCCTCCTGGGTAAATGCACCTTTCTCCCTACCTCCACTCTTAACTCCAAAACGCATTGACTCCTGCTATATTCAGAACAAATGGTGTATTTATATTTGTGTATATGTTGACCAGCTCTCACCTCCAGCTGCACCCGTTTTACGATTGGTGTCTGTTTCCTGAGAGAATCATCCCCCACTACTCATGTGATCTTTATCAGCTTCTAATTGGGGTGGAGTTGAATGCTCATTTGAGCATCTCCCTATAAATTTAGATCAGCTCATGGGGGAGATCTCTGATGGGGGGCACAGTCTCTGATGGGGGTGCTGCTTCAGATTGAGTGCGGCTTAGAACGAGTGCATAGAAGAAGCAGTTAAACGCAGCAGAGTGCGGCTTAGAACGAGTGCATAGAACGAGTGCATAGAAGAAGCAGTTAAACGCAGCAGTTGAATTAAAGCAGGAGAACTCAAGCAGCAGGAAGACACAACAGCAAGAAACTCTACTGCATGCTGGAAGACTGCAAGCAAACACCCTGGGAAACCTCTTACATGCCTGAGACCCACTCCGTGTACCTTTATATAATACACCCCTCTTCTCCTTATCATATTACTACCCTCTGTTCCCAAATCTAATTTCTTTACCCCTCTGCTCCACCCCACAACCTGTACATCTCCCCCTCACTGCTATCATCTCCCTACTTTGCTCTCTTCACCTCCCCAAAATGTCTCTTCCACTCCTCCTTCTCATTTTCCTCTCCTCCATTCCCAAAATCCATTCACTATATCCCTCTGCCCCTCCCAAACATTTGTATATCGTGTCCTCACTGCTTCCCTCACCCCTCTATGGCACCCACCACCTCCTCCTATTACTCCGCTCTCCCACTGACCCCAACACCTCCACTAGGAGTTTCTCACGCTCCTGCACATCCCTCTCCCATGCCACCTTTCTCACCCTTCTCCTCCTCCTAGCCGCCGCGGGGGACATCTCCCCGAATCCTGGCCCTCCACCTCCCTCACCCGCTCAACACACTCCCACCTCCACGTCCTACTGCAACCCCCACAACTTAGTATCTGTCCCCCTGCTCCCTAAAATCTCCCCCCCATTTTCATGTGCACTCCTGAACGCCCGTTCGGTGTGCAACAAGCTTACCGCCATCCACGACCTCTTTGCTTCCCGCTCCCTCAACCTCCTAGCGATCACAGAAACCTGGATCCAGCCCACTGATTCTACCTCCCCTGCTGCACTCTCCTATGGAGGTCTCACCTGGACCCACTCACCCAGGCCTAACGGTCGTAAAGGTGGTGGGGTTGGTCTGCTCCTGTCACCGCAGAGCACCTTCCGAGTCCTCTCAAACCCCCCCTCCCTATCCTTCTCCTCCTTCGAGGCCCACTGCCTCCGACTATTCTCCCCAACCCCCCTGAAGATTGCTGTGATATACCGGCCTCCTGGATCCATACCCCGCTTCCTGGATGACTTCTCCTCCTGGCTACCCTTCTTCCTCTCCTCTGAGCTACCCACCATATTCTTGGGGATTTCAACATCCCTGTCAACCTCGACAACCCGGACACAGCCCGTCTCCTCCACCTAACCTCCTCCTTTGCACTTGCACAGTGCATACAATCCACCACCCACTCCGACGGAAATATCCTGGACCTTGTCTTCTCCAACCGCTGCGCTCCCCACAACCTCACTAACACCCCCCCTTCCCTCTCTCTGACCACAAACCTGATCACCTTCTCTATCTCCTCGTCCTCCAACGCCTACCCCTCCAAATGTCACACTACTACCAGCCGGAACCTCCGCAACCTTAACCCTGCCTCCCTCCACTCTGCAGCTGATCAACTCCACGACAGCATCCTCCCCCTGTCCTGCCCCGACTTGGCTTTGACCGCCTACAACAATGCGCTCTCAACAGCCCTTGACTCACTAGCGCCTTTAACCACACGCAACATCAGACCCGACCGCTCCAGCCCTGGCAGACTGATCACACCAAAACCCTCAAACGACAAAGTCGTGCCCTGGAGCGACTATGGCACAAAACCAAATCCCAACAAGCCTTCACCAGCTACAAATCTGCCTTCCGCACCTACACCTCCTCCCTCCATGCTGCCAAACAGGCCTACTTCTTGACCCTCATCAAGGCCCTCTCCTCCAATCCTCGCCGACTCTTCTCTGCCTTCAACTCTCTACTCTCTCCACCCCCACCTCCACCCAGCACCTCACTCACTGCCCTTGAGATTGCCAATCACTTCAAAAACAAGATTGACACAATTCGCAAGGACATTGCCACAACTCACACGCCCTCTCTCAACCCGTCCCCTCTCACACAGCTACCCCCTTATCCCCCCTCCCCCTCGACATAACCCGCAGGGACTTCGTCGCTGCTCAAACTCTCTCCAACCCCCTTCACCCTCACTCAGCTACCCCCTCATCACCCCTCTCCCACGGCCCCACCACTGCTCTGACCTCCTCTTCCACCCCACCCTACATCCCTCATACTGAAGCTCCCCCAACACTCCACACCTTTGACCTTACTACCATCGAGGAAGTCTCCAAGATCCTCTCTGATGCCCGCCTCACCACCTGCCCCCTCGACCCTATCCCCTCACAACTCCTACGACCTTCCTCCTCCTCCATCCTACGCTCCCTCACCCCACACCTTCAATCTCTCCCTCTCCTCAGGCACTTTCCCCTCCCCTCTGAAACATGCACACATCACCCCCATACTTAAAAAGCCCTCCCTGGACCCCAATGACCCGAACAACCTCAGACCCATCTCCCTGCTCCCATTTACATCTAAACTCCTCGAGCGCCTAGTCTACACCCGCCTATGCTCTCACCTCAACGACAACAACCTCCTCGATCCCCTACAGTCCGGCTTCCGTCCCCTACACTCCACCGAAACTGCCTTACTCAAACTCTCCAACGACCTGCTAACCGCCAAAGCTAATGGCCATTATTCAGTGCTCCTACTCCTTGACCTCTCTGCGGCCTTCGACACAGTCGACCACCCCCTCCTCCTCAAAAAACTACACTCCCTCGGCCTCAGAGATTCTGCTCTCTCCTGGCTCTCATCCTACCTGTCACAACGCTCCTTCAGCGTTACCTATAATGCTACCACCTCCCCCTCACTCCCCCTCTCTGTTGGGGTCCCTCAAGGCTCTGTCCTCGGACCCCTTCTCTTCTCCATCTATACCTCCTCCCTTGGCCAACTCATACACTCTCACGGCTTCAACTACCACCTCTATGCCGACGAACAACAAATCTCTCTCAACCCCCCCTCACCTCACCCCCTTGGTCTCAGCCCGAATCACACACCTACTGAGCGACATATCAGACTGGATGTCGCTCCACTTCCTTAAATTGAACCTCTCCAAAACCGAGTTTCTTGTCTTCCCCCCCCAGCCCGGACACCACCCCCCATTGATTTCTCCGTCACATCCAACAACGCTACCATCAAACCCGCCCTGCAGGCCAGAGTACTGGGTGTCATTCTGGACTCCAACCTATCCTTCCAGCCCCAAGTCCAATCTTTAACAAACTCGTGCAGACTCCACCTCCGCAACATCGCCAAAATCCGCACGTTCCTAACCCCAGAAACCACTAAACAGCTCATCCACTCCCTCATCATATCACGACTCGACTACTGCAACTCCCTCCTCACTGGCCTGCCTCGCCGCTGGCTATCCCCGCTTCAGTCGATCCTGAATACGGCTGCCAGACTCATTCACCTTTCCAACCGCTCCGTCTCCGCCACCCCCCTCTGCCAATCCCTCCACTGGCTTCCGATTGCGCAACGGATCAAATTCAAAATCCTAACGCTGACATACAAAGCTGTCCACCATACTGCCCCGAACTACATCACTGACCTAATATCAAAGTACCGCCCCAGCACGCACACTCCGCTCCTCACAAGACCTCCTTCTCTCTAGTTCCCTGGTCTCCTCCTCCCATGCCCGCCTCCAGGACTTCTCCAGGGTGTCACCCATCCTCTGGAACTCCCTGCCCCAACCCATCAGATTATCACCTACTCTCCTCTCCTTTAGGCGCACCCTGAAAACCCATCTCTTCAGGGAAGCCTACCCCACCCCCTGCTAACTTGCCGACCTCCTCCACTCTTCCTACCACTCCATCCCCCACAGCTATCTCCTCCTGTGCCACCATCCCCTCCCTCCTAGATTGTAAGCTCGAAAGAGCAGGGCCCTCGATCCCCTCATGTATCGCATTGTATTGGTATTGTTCTGTCACATGTTCTGTCTCCCTTTGTAATGTACAGCGCTGAGCGAACTATTGGCGCTTTATAAATACTGTATAATAATAATAATAAATTAACCTAGTTGGTCATCCTAAAACAGGAAGTCCCCTTATTACCCTACTTGGTCATCATAGAACAGGAAGTCCCTTTGTTACCCTACTTGGTCGTCGTAGAACTGGAAGTCCAGTTATTACCCTACAAGGTCGTCATAGAACAGGAATTCCCTTTGTTACCTTACTTGGTCGTCGTAGAACAGGAAGTCCCTTTATTATCCTACTTAGTCATCCTAAAACAGGAAGTCCCTTTATTACCCTACTTGGTCATCCTATAACAGGAAGTCCCTTTATTACCCTACATGGCTGTCGTAGAAAAGCAAGTTCTGTTATTGCCCTATATGGCTGTGGTAAAACAGGAAGCCCAGTTTTTACTCTATGGTCATTGTAAAACAGGGAGTCCTGTTAGTATTATATATGGCCGTTCTAGAGCAAGGAATTCTGTTTATATACAGACACAAAATATATATATACATATATACACACACACTATATATGGTCATCCCTGTTCTAGCACAACCATATATGGCAAAAACAGAACTTCCTGTCCTAGGACACCCATATATGGTAATACCAAGTCTCTGTGTGTGCGTTCACTTTTCTGTTTAATAATTTCCTACATTATATGGAAGTATATATGACTCATGGAATCCCTCTATGTGAGAGAAGGACCTTAGCCTCTTCCTTCACTGCTGTAGACACTAAAGAGAAGCAGGTCACTTGACAGGGGGTGACGTACCGAGGAGGTGACACGCCAACAACGCATGCGGGTGACTTTGAAGCTGCCTTCCTTCATTTGCTCGTTGGGGAGTTTCACTTGAAAGTTGAGTTCATTGTTTCCGGCGCTCACGATCACGTGACAACCCTTTTCCGGGAAGTCGGTGATACAGGGCTCAAACTTCAGATACCCGTAATACTTCAATGTCTGTGCCAACTGGATGAACTGTGCCAAGAAGGAGGGAGAGTACAGTTTGATCAAAAGACACTTCACAGCAAAAGGTATAAATCCCTGGGCAATCCTAGTGTGATGAAAGGTTGAGGCCACACAGGTGGGAGGGCTCATGGTAATATAGCCTACTAGCCAATCTCAGAATATTGAACAATTTGACCATGCAACTGGAGGTTATGGCCAATCTCAGTATGGTATGGACCATAAAGCAGGAGGTCATACAATAATATCCTGTAACCCACTGGCCTAGCTCAACAATGGTTTTGCCAATACAGCTGGAGGCCACACAGTGACCCACTGGCCAATTTCAACAGTTTCTCCACCCCCGTCCACCTACAGACATAACTGCCCTATCTCCCCTTGGACAGGCGTACTCCCCTCCTATGGGTGTTATATGACCCCCTTGGAACATACCTCCTTCTTGGAGACTTTCTCCTGCAGAGATTTGAGCTGTCGATGTTGCTCTTTGTTCACCTGTATCCAGCCACGCTCAATATCGCTGACCGTCTGACAAAAGTGGAGAAGTGTGACAATCATGTAGCTGGAACAATCAGAGAACCCCTCCACCCCAGAACCCGGCCCCAAAGCTGGAGACCTCTGCCTGTCTACAACCAATCTCTCCTCCGCCGTGGTCATTTTGTTTCCCATTCTGCGATTTGGAGAAAATAATGAAAATGAACCTGTGACAACTGTGGCCAACCGGTCACCAGTTAATCTGTAACTGACCACTGACACCTAACTCCTTGGACAATGTATACCCCAGCAATGACGCTAATCCTAACTCAGCAAACTGTGCGTACTGCCACCATTCTTATAGCCCTAGACCAGTGGTCTCCAAATTGTGACCCAGGGGCCAGATGGGGCCCTTTACATGCTTTTATCTAGCCCTTGGGGCACTATTTCATATACTGATATCAACACTTGGGTGTAATTCCCCCCACTTACACTAATGAAGGGGGCACAACTCCTTCAAATGACACCAACAATAGGGCACAATGTGAAACAAATGATAGGGTCCAATGACATCAATGGTGGGGCAGAATTCCTCCCACTGACACCAAACAAAGGGGTATTATTTTTTTCCTACTCACATCGGGACCTTTTCTACTCCCACTGGCTGCAGTCTGGCCCTTGAAAAGTCTGTAGGAGAGTAAACTGGCCCTTTTATTTAGAAAGATTGGAGACCCCTGCCCTAGACAATCTGTACCCAAAGTGGTCTCCAACTCCTAACTCCCTAGACCATCGGTGCTAACCTGTGGCCCTCCAGGTGTCGCAGAACTACAAGTCCAATCATGCATCTGCCTTTGGGAGTCATGCTTTTAACTGTCAGCATTGCAATGCCTCACGGGATTTGTAGTTCCACAACAGCTAGAGGGCAACAGTTTGAGCACCCATGCCACAGACAATGTGTACCCAGAACTTCCACTAATCCCACCTCCCTAGACAATGTGTACCCAGAACTTCCACTAAGCCCACCGCCCTAGACAATGTGTACCCAGAACTTCCACCCATTCCCACCCATTGTGTACCCACCCACTCCCTAGACAATGTGTACCCAGAACTTCCACTAAGCCCACCACCCTAGAAATGTGTACCCAGAACTTCCACTAATCCCGTTCAATGTTGCTGTACCCAGAACTTCCACCCCATCCCTAGATAATGTGTACCCAGAACTTCACTTCCACTATGTATCCCGTTTCCCTAGACAATGTGTACCCAGAACTTCCACCCATTCCCACCTCCCTAGACAATGTGTACCCAGAACTTCCACTAATCCCACCTCCCTAGACAATGTGTACCCATAACTTGCACTAAGCCCACCTCCCTAGAAAATGTGTACCCAGAATTTCCACCCATTCCCACCTCCCTAGACAATGTGTACCCAGAACTTCCACCCATTCCCACCTCCCTAGACAATGTGTACCCAGAACTTCCACCCATTCCCACCTCCCTAGACAATGTGTACCCAGAGCTTCCACTAATCCCGCCTCCCTAGACAATGTGTACCCAGAACTTCCACCCATTCCCCATTCACCTCCCTAGACAATGTGTACCCAGAGCATCCACTAATCCCACCTCCCTAGACAATGTGTACCCAGAACTTCTACTAATCCCACCTCCCTAGACAATGTGAACCTAGAACTGCCTAATCCCAGCTCCCCAGATAATGTGTCTCTAGTACTGCCACTAATCCAAACCCCTAGACAATGTGAATCCAGATCTGCCTCATCCTAATCTGCTAGCCAACATGTACTCAGAGCTGCCACTACTCCTAATTTACTAGACAAGGAGTACCCCAGTGCGGCCACTAATCATTGCTCCCCAGGCATGTCCTTCATAGGCTGTAGGACTCCAGTCTTACTCCATAAATCCACAGAGGCGACGTACCTGAGCATACAAGAGATTCAGGCCCACTCTGCTTTCCATGACGTCCTCATCATATGAGGAATCCCAGTAACTATAGGAAGAAAACTCAACATGAGAAATGACCAGTAAATGACAGATCTATGGATCCAAAGAGTTAAAACAATCATCATATGAGGATATTAGAGCTGTACCATCCTTAACATTACCACATCAGACTCATGTCTAACCAATGACATCATCATGAGAATGTTTGGAGATTCATCCCTAACATCACCAGACTAGGAAGTCCAGAGACCTAAAACTAGCATCACTATCATCATCCAAGAAACCTGAGAGCGGTCATCTGATGAGAAAGTTTGGAGATTCATCAATAACATAATTGCACCAGAAGATCCAGAGACTGAAACAAACAGCTATCAAAACACAAGAAAACAAAGCTGTAACATATCATGAGAAGGTTCAGAGATCCATAACATCACCACCAGACGATCCAGAGACCTACTTCACTACCAACCACAAGAAACCCGAGAACTGTATTCTCTCAGAAGATTCGGAGATCCATCTCTAACATCACCACTAGACCAGAGGATCTAGAGACCTACATCACTATCAACCACAAGAAACCTGAGAATTGTATCATCTCAGGAGAAGGTTCAGAGATCCATCCTTAACATCACCACCAGGCCAAAAGATCCAGAGACCTACATTACCTAACAACTACAAGAAGCCTGAGAGCTAAATCATCTCAGGAGAAGGTTCTAATATCACCACCAGACTACATTACTATCAACTAAAAGAAACTTGAGCGCTGTAGTATCTCTCAAGAAGGTTGCAGATCCATCTCTAACATCACCACCAGACCAGAAGATCCAGAGACCTAGATCGCTACCAACTACAAGAAACCTGAGAGCTGTATCAACTCAGGAGAAGATTCCAAGATCCATTCCGAACATCAACCACCAGACCAGAAGATCCAGAGACCTACATCACTATCAACTACAAGAAACCTGAGAGCTGAATCATCTCTTTGGCTCAGGAGAAGGTTTGGAGATTCATCCTAACATCACCACCAGACCAGAAGATCCAGAGACCTACACCAGTGTGACCAGAGATGTGTGACTGACGCAGGGAAACGCAGACCTCAGATATGTTATAATAAACAAATATAATTATTAACACTAACAATACAAACATAAACGCAGTGCAATACTAAACATAATACAGTGCAAACAAACCAAACCAAACCACCCACAGATAACAGTACATACAATCAAGCGTCGTCAGGCAGGCCGGTCAATATCAATAGGGCAGGTAGGTACAGGGGGAGCAAGCGGAGATTGGTCAGGGTCACAAGCCAGGGATCAGAACAGGTAGCAAGCAGCATGGTACAGAGGGTCAGGACAGAGGGATGGTCAGGAGCGAGCCGGGATCAGAGCAGGAGAAGTCAGCAGCGGTTCAGAAACAGGATGCAGGACAGAAACAGGATGCAGGACAGAAACAGGATGCAGGGCCCAGGACAAACACACACCAAGGCAGAGTCTGTGAATCTGGCCATCCCTTAAATACCCCAGCATAATCAGTTACAGGTGTTAGCTGGCTGCAAAGTTGAGTCTCTGATTGCTGGGAACACACCGCTGGCCAGCCCTGGTACTGCAGATCAAAAGGCAGGTGAGTCCCACCATAGCTGCCAGTCCATTCCTGACAGTACCCCCCCCTCAAGGAGCGGCCTCAGGACGCTCCAAACAGTCCTAGCTGGGAAAAAATTGTTCCACCGCCCGGGTTGGTAACTGGGCGGGATATCAAAGACTGGCACACCGGGCAGGACTCCGGGCAGTGGTACACCGGGCAGAGGCACATCGGGCTGGACTCCGGGCAGAGCACATCGGGCTGGACTCCGGGCAGAGGCACACCGGGCTGGACTCCGGGCAGAGGCACACCGGGCTGGACTCCGGGCAGAGGCACACCGGGCAGAGGCACACCGGGCAGAGGCACACCGGGCAGAGGCACACCGGGCAGAGGCACACCGGGCAGAGGCACACCGGGCAGAGGCACACCGGGCAGAGGCACACCGGGCAGAGGCACACCGGGCCGGACTCCGGGCAGAGGCACAACCGGGCCGGACCCCGGGCAGAGGCACATCGGGCTACCAGGCGAAGCAGCAGGCAGCGGGCCCCCGGGCGGGGCGACAGGCCTCGGGCCCCCCGGGCACAACGAGCGGCGGGCGCCGGACCCCCGGGCGGAACTACAGGCCTCGGGCCCCCGGGCGGAGCGGCGGGCGCCGGACCCCCAGGCGGAAAACTACAGGCCTCGGACCCCCAGGCGGAGCGGCGGCGGGCGCCGGACCCCCAGGCGGAGCGGCGGGCGCCGGACCCCCAGGCGGAGCGGCGGGCGCCGGACCCCCAGGCGGAGCGGCGGGCGCCGGACCCCCAGGCGGAGCGGCGGGCGCCGGACCCCCAGGCGGAGCTACAGGTCTCGGGCCCTCAGCGGGAGCGGCGGGCGCCGGACCCCCAGGCGGAGCTACAGGTCTCGGGCCCTCAGGCGGAGCAACAGGTCTCGGGCCCCCAGACGAAGCGGCGGGCACCGAGTCGTCTGGCAAGGCTGCGGGCACCGAGTCGTTCTGGCAAGGCTGCGGGCACCGAGTCGTCTGGCAAGGCTGCGGGCACCGAGTCGTCTGGCAAGGCTGCGGGCACCGAGTCGTCTGGCAAGGCTGCGGGCACCGAGTCGTCTGGCAAGGCTGCGGGCACCGAGTCCGTCTGGCAAGGCTGCGGCACCGAGTCGTCTGGCAAGGCTGCGGGCACCGAGTCGTCTGGCAAGGCTGCGGGCACCGAGTCGTCTGGCAAGGCTGCGGGCACCGAGTCGTTCTGGCAAGGCTGCGGGGCACCGAGTCGAACTGGCGGCGGAACAGCGGGCACCAAGTCGTCTGGCAAGACAGTGGGCTCCGAGTCAACAGGCACGACAGTGGGCACCCCAACCGGGTCATCAGGTATCGGATTGTCTTGGCTCGACAGCGGGCATCGGGTCACCCATGGTATGACAGCGGGCACTGGGTCACCAGCATCAGGTCATCTGGCTTGCCAGCGGGCACCGCGTTCAATCTGGCAAGGCAGTGTGGGCACCGGGTCACCAGGTATGACAGCGGGCTCTGAGTCAATTGGCACGACAGCGGGCACTGGATCAGGTACCGGATCATCTGGATCAACAGCGGGCATCGAGTCAACTGGCCTGATAGGATCGTCGGGCTGGATCAGTTCATCATGCTGAGTAGCGGCATCAGGCTGAATGCAGGCTTCAGGCTGAGGAGAGCTTCAGGCTGAGGAGGAGGCTTCAGCTGAGGAGAGGCATCAGGCTGAGGAGAGGGCATCAAGGCTGAGGAGAGGCATCAGCTGAGGAGAGGCATTTTCAGGCTGAGGAGAGGCATCAGGCTGAGGAGAGGCTTCAGGCTGAGGAGAGGCTTCAGGCTGAGGAGAGGCTTCAGGCCGAGGAGAGGCTTCAGGCCGAGGAGAGGCTTTCATGGCCGAGGAGAGGCTTCAGGCCGAGTAGAGGCTTCAGGCCGAGTAGAGGCTTCAGGCCGAGTAGAGGCTTCAGGCCGAGTAGAGGCTTCAGGCCGAGTAGAGGCTTCAGGCCGAGTAGAGGCTTTAGGCCTGAGTAGAGGCTTCAGGCTGAGTCACGGAAGGCAGGTTCACCCGGTTTGGATACTGGCAGGATGGTATGGTTGGAAAGAATTTTCGCTTTTTTCTGGTTTTAACTACTGGAGCACTGCAAGTAAACGCAGGTCTGCAAACGAATGGAGCAGCTGGAGACAGAGAAGAACTGGAGGATGGAACAGGAGAGGGAGCAGTTTTGCTACAGAGGGCTTTTTACAGGTTAAAGGCAGGATAGGTGCAGCGAGTGGGGGAACAGGGTACTGACATGCCGGTAGATAGCCAAGTATACTGGGGCTGTAACTGGAGGAGCTGGTGGGAATACAGGAGTAGAGTTAGAAGCAGGACTGGGTCTTTGTAAGCTGACTGAGGCTGGGTGTAACAAATCTGTCCATGTCTGCAGTATGGTTTTGAAACTAAAGCTGAGCTTACACAAAGCCTGTCTGGTCAATGACTGCACTGCGTTTATACAATCTCTTAGTGTCTGTGGTGAACATGTGGAATAACGCTCCAGAAAGTAACCCACATCATCCTCTAATAAACCACACCAGGGACTCAACCTGGTCTGCACTAAATGGTGGCAAAAAATTCATCCCTGCATTCGGGGGAAAACCAGTATGAAACCAACTCAACACAAACCTGAATCAATGGCTGCACCATAGAGAAATCTGTGCCCCCTGATCTACTAGAACATGAGCGAGCCCGTATACATTCTAGTAGTTCATCCCGGGGATACTCCTTCAGAGTCTGATAAGCATACTCTCTGTCATCAAACACTAGCAGATATAAATACACAACCTCATCCAGATCCATCACTTCCCATCAACAAACCAAGATGGCTTCCCTGTGCAGAGCCACTTCTGGTCAGGATTGGCCTTGGTGTAATGTCAGGGCTCCCAGGTGTGACCAGAGATGTGTGACTGACGCAGGGAAACGCAGACCTCAGATATGTTATAAACAATATAAACTTTATTAACACTAACAATACAAACATAAACGCAGTGCAATACTAAAACATAACACACATGTGCAAACAAACCAAACCAAACCACCCCCAGATAACAATACATACAAGCAAGCGTCGTCAGGCAGGCCGGGTCAATATCAATAGGGCAGGTAGGTACAGGGGAAGCAAGCGGAGATTGGTCAGGGTCACAAGCCAGGGATCAGAACAGGTAGCAAGCAAGCGAGGTACAGAGGGTCAGACCAGAGGGATGGTCAGGAGCGAGCCGGGATCAGAGCAGGAGAAAGTCAGCAGCGGTTCAGAAACAGGATGCAGGACAGAAACAGGATGCAGGACAGAAACAGGATGCAGAGGCCCAGGACAAACACACACCAAGGCAGAGTCTGTGAATCTGGCCATGCCCTTATAAATACCCCAGCATAAGTCTAGTTACCGGTGTTAGCCTGGCTGCAAAGTTGAGTCTATGTATTGCTGGGCAACACCCTCTGGCCGCCCTGGTAGACTACTGCAGACTCAAAAGCAAGGTGACAGTCCCACCATAGCTGGCCAGTCCATTCCTGACACTTTCACTATCAACTACAAGAAACCTGAGAGGCTGTATCATCTACTGGAGAAGGGTTTGGAGATCCATCCCTAACATCACCACCAGACAGAAGATTCAGTCGACCTACAATCACTAATCAACTACAAGACACCTGAGAGCTGTATCATCTCATCATCCCAGGAGAAGGTTCGGAGATTCATCCTTAAATAGCACCAACTAACCAGAAGATCTACAGACCTAACATCACTATCAACTACAAGAAACCTGAGAACTGTATCAACTCAGGAGAACGATTCTGAGATCCATTCTGAACATCCAACACCTGAGACCAGAAGATCCAGAGACCTACAGCACTATCACTACAAGAAATACCTGAGAGCTGTATCAAGCTGTTTCAGCTACATGATACAATTGAAGAGCATGTCTTATGTGATGGAGAAGTTCTGAAAGCCATCCCATCCCCAACATTCTACCAGAGCAAAAAATTTAGAGACCTGAAATAACATTATTGTCAACATTTGAAACTTTTATTATTATATATAACAAGTGATGGCGAACCTTTTTGAGCCCGAGTTGTGATTGGAGTGCCAAAACTGCAACACAAACCAACTTTTTTATTTCAAAGTGCCTAACTCTGCAATTAACCAACATTGCCTACCTGGACGCACTGACAGACGGCACTGATCGGTGGCACAGCTGGGCATCATATGATGGTGGTGCACTGATCGGCAGCACTGATGGGCGACTACACTGCTGAGGGACACGTGACAGGTGGCACTGCTGGGCAGCACTGAACAGGCGTCACTGCTGGGCAGCACTGACCAGGCGGCTCAACTGCTGGGCAGCACTGACAGGCTAGCACTGGCTGGGCAGCACTGACAAGCGGCACTCGCTGCAGCACTGATGGGTGACACTGCTGGGCACTGATGGTGACACTAGCATGGTCACTGATGGGCGAACAACTGCTGGTCACTGAGAGCTAGTGGCACTGCTGGGACAGCACTGGTGACAGGCGACACTGCTGGCGGCAGCACTGAACAGGCAGACACTGCTTGTGCACTGATGGGTAGACACTGCTGGGCTCATTGATGGTGGTGGCACTGATGGGCGATACTGCTGGCACTGACCATGTGCACTTGCTGGGCAAGCAACTGACAGATGGCACTGCAGGGCATCATTGATGGTATGGCACCCTGATGGGCGACACTGCTGAGGCACTGACAGGCGACAACTGCCTGGGCACTGATGGATGTACACCGTGCAAGCAGTTAATCTCACCACCTCTGGCAACAGCGTCGGTGTGGCTTCCATCCATACCAGCAGCTCATTCCCATCCACTCTGAAGCAAGTTGCCCCAGGCCCCCACGGAGCAGGTGTGGGAGCAGTGTGGGAGCCTCTTCCTCTCTTCCCGCAATCCCCGGGTACCACACCCCAGGTGCCTAGAGCCGCATTGGAGCCGTTTCCTCTCGTTCCACACGCCCACGCCTGGCCCCATAGACATGTTGGAGGAAATGTAGTTTGATGGGGATCCAGTGTGGACGAGATCTGGATGGCCGGTATCCATGCGCGCCGTCATCATCCTCACTCTTCCTGGCGTGCCCACTGAGATGGCTCTTGCTGTGCCCAGCTCTGGCAGGCCGTGCCATAGGTTTCGCCATCACTGTTATATAAGGAAGACTCTTCAACACCATCACTCAGTTATCGAGACTAGATGGCATAGTTAGAGCTGCAGTCACTGTATATATGTACGCTGACCAGGGAAAACAGATGTGATGTTGACACTGTGGTGGGAGGAGGACATGGACATGTGTAGATCAGGTCATCCACAGATGTACAGCAGGAGGGTCTGTGTAATGAACACTTGAGGTCAACACAATGGCCAGCGTCCATCCTGGCTGTATAGACAAAAAAAAACAATGGCAATGTACAACCAATAAGCATCTGCTGTAACCTATTTCCTACTGGTAACTGTGAAGGTATCACACTCTCCATCCTATGGTTGATATGTGGTTGATGACATTCATTTTAAGATGTAATCAGACAGAATTTACCTTTTCTCCGAGAATAATCTTGTATATCCTCTACTGCGGAGACTGGTCACTGACACATATTAGGCAGTTCGAACTCTTTGCACGCTTCCGATCAAATAGCTGCAGAGGGAGGACAATTCTGTGAGGATCAGCGACACCCGCACAACAGGCCACCCCTGACTACCCACTGCAGACTATCCTCCCCCACCCGCAGGGCGCAAGGCCTCCCCTACCCCCTCCCTCCACCGGGGGCAGGGCGCAGGCCTCACCGCTGACAAACCCCTCGACACCGGCAGGGCGCAAGCCTCACCCCCGCTCACCCCCCTCCACCGCTCAAGGGTGCATATGCCCCCCCCCCCCCCACCGCAAAGGCCTCCCCGACCCCCTCCACCATCTGCATAGGGAGCAAGGCCTCCCCGACCCCCTCCTCCGGCAGGGCGCCAAGGCCTCCCCTTGATACCCTCACACCACCGGCAGGGCGTCGCAAGGCTTCCCAAAGACCCCTCGCACCAGGCATGGCGCAGGTCTCCTTGACCCCCTCCACCGTCAGGGCGCAAGGCCTCCTTGCACCCTCCTCTCCACCGGCAGGCGCAAGGCCTCCCCGACCCCCACTCCACCGGCAGGGCGCAAGGCCTCCCCGACCCCCTCCACCGCAGGGTCGCAAGGCCTCCCCCGACCCCCTCCTCACCGGCAGGGCGCACGGCCTCCCCCAACCCCCCTCCACCGGCCAGGGGCGCAAGGCCTCCCCGACCCCCCTCCACACCGCAGGGCGCAAGGGCCCTCCCCCGACCCCCTCCAACACCAACAACCCACAAGGCCGTCACCCCGATCCCTTCTAAACCACCAACCCACAGCGCACTATGAACCACCCTCACCTGCAAGTCACAGTCCTCCCAACCACTCATATCAGCAGGGGCGCAGCCCTCCCCACCACCAAATCTTTCCCTTTCGTGTAATGGCAAAAAATTATATAATTGAGTTGGTAGGACCGTACGGTAATACATATATATATGCAGACTTACAGGAGAACGAGCCATCCTTGCTCCATCTTTAATGAGGTACACAGGGCTAAAGTAACCAAGAAAATAGCTCCCTCTGGAAAGGGTCCAATTTGGTGGTGACTGCCTGTGAGTGGAGAGTAATAAGAACAATCAGTTATAAGGTGTGCTCGGAACAATATAGGTGTACATCTATACCTCTAATTCCCT